GACCCTCAAGGGGGTCTCGACCCACAGGTTGGCGACCCACAGGTTGAGAACCGCTGCCTTAGATGAAACAATGGCAGCCTGTCTGGAGCCTCGATTGCCGTTTCTCTGCATCTGCGTTAGATTGTTCATTAACATATTTCAAGTATAATTAGTTGCCATCAAAGTTACCTCACCTTCAGCGGTGAGAATTACTGATGGAGCTAAACTAGATGAGCGTAATCTGTACAGACGTAACTCTCTCTCCGGGTTACAGAGCGCATGTGGGCTTGCTTGGGTGGTTGGTTGCTGTTGCTTATTATTATTATTTTGCATATTCAGTTATATATACTTGTGTATATGTCAGTAAATAATAAGAGATAGGAGGATTCTAGCCCCTTAAGAATTTCTCAAAAATTGTTATTTTACTAATTTGCTTTTTTAGTGGAATGGCTCTTACCAATGCCCCTTTCTTAAGTGCATTTTCAATTTCTTTAAAGATGCTGTGCTTTCAAAATTAAACTCTTCCATATTATGCATAGAACCCCAACTCCTAGCTTTAAAACCTGGGGTTCAGTTTGTTATTTTCCAGGGAAGTTCTGGGTATGTCTAGATTGAAGGATTTTAAAAAACCAAAAGCATTCAATTATATGATTTAGAAAGCCCATTCCATTTTGCAATTCTAACTTACTTTACAGACCCACAGATAATCCTTCCCCGCTTTCTGTGGGGAAGGAAAAACCTAAAAAACACAACCTAGATGCATCAGTCAGGGTTCTCCAGAGAAACAGAACCAATAGGGTGTGTGTATATGTGTGCATGTGCATGTGCACATGTGTGTGTGCGTGCACGCGTGTGTTACTTACCATCGGGAATTGGCTCGCATTGTTATGAAGATTGGCAAGTGCCAAGCTCAGTGAGCTGCAGACCCAGGAGACCAGTGGGGTGGTTCCAGTCCAAAGGCTGGCAGGCTCGAGACCCAGGAAGAGCCAACGTTTAAGTTCAAGTCTGAAGGCAGGAAAAACGGATGTCTCAACTCCAGGCAGGAGGAATTCCCCCTTATTTGGGGGAGATATCAGGTGAGGCACATCCACCTGAGGGTTTTATTCAGTCTCTCAATGTAAATGTGGAATTCATCCAGGAGCACAGACACACTCAGAATACTGTCTGACTTTACATGGCCCAGTCAAGTTGACACATAAAATTGACCTGAAAACTTTTGTCTTCCTCTTTCTGCCTTAGAGGTGGGCTCAGAATTCTCCCAACAGCCCACAGCTATTGGCTAGCTAACAGCCCACAGCTATTGGCTAGATTGGGCCTGAATAACATTATTTCATACAGTCTTTCTGTATCTCTGAAGGCGTTAGTATTTTTAGGGTGTGTGTGTGTGTGTTTTAATGCTTTTCAGTACCTTCTTCTATACTCTTTGCTTTTTTGTTTATTTTTCCTGGCAGAGCAAATTGTACTTTCTAGCTCATTGGTTTTTATTCTGTTAACATTTGAATATTGCCCAGCCACCTGTTGAGCGGCGGGTGTGTGAGCTCGTAAAGAAACAAAATAGTAGAATGCACCACTGTTGCTATTTTTTTGGTGGCACATCTTCACTCTTGATCCATGTGGTCATGTCCAGGACCGGTCAACACACCGTGTCGTCAGGTGCTGAGTCTTCTAGTGAAAACGAGAGAAACATCAATGATGAGAGAGAATCATCGGCTGCCTCCTGCACCCCCGCCCCCCACCACCACTAGGGATCCAGCCCGCAACTTGGGCATGTGCCCCTACCAGGAATTGAACTGTGACCTCCCGGTTCATAGGTTGATGCTCAACCACTGAGCCACACTGGCCGGGCTTGCCTTCCTCTCTCTTGACATGCCACCTTCCCCAGAGGTGATGCACGTCTTAAAATCCTCTGTCACAAGTGGGCAGTGCTTCCAGAGGAAGCGAGGAGCAGACTTAGCACCAGTATTTGTGGCCCCTACTTTTTGAGACCACGTCTTAAAGCAGGTCAGTGTAGCCCGTGGCTGCGGAGGCACTGGAGGAGGAGGCAGGCCGAGTGGTCATTCTGGCGGGTGTGTGGCTGCTCAACGCCTCCCTCCCCCTGTCCCAGACATTCTTATTTCGGAAAGTACCCAACGCCTACCCCGGTATACTGCCTGGAGCAACCCCCTCACCGTGGCCAGGAGCAGGAAACTCACGAGCCTTCATTCGCTTTTCCTGGGGTGGCCCCAGTTTCCCCACATTACTGCGGTTGGCCGGTTATTGAGGTCAGTCTGACTAAGGCAACTAGACTGCTGCAGGTAGGATGCCCCTTGTTCCTTATACTGAGCTTAGAGGAGTGTGTTGACGCATAACTGAAAAGTGCACAGTTAATGCAGGCTCAGGCATGGCTGGATCCAGGTGCTCATACCTGAGGACACCATGTCCCCCAGCTATTGGCCCTGCTTTCCTCCAGGTTGACTTCATTGCATGGGGGCAGGTTCAAGCCCAGAGAGCTCTTACCTTCCCCCTCAATTGCCCACCAGTAGCTGTGGTTAGGGGCTGTAATATACCGAGTGCATTTGGACTGAGCATCCCTGGAGCCGGGGGTGGGATCCACTCCACTTGAGCTATATGGCTTTGAGAGTTGGGGTGGTACCTCCTAAATAACTCAGGGTGTGCTGTTAGGGGAAAAAGCACAAATAGATGCTGCGCAGAAAACGTAGCCAATGTCTGCCTTTTAGCCTTTAGGATCCATCGAAGGGTTTTCTACTTGTTAGGGGAGATTGAGCTACCGCTGGTTCATGGCACAAAGTGAGTTTGTGTATACATTTGAATTTGTTCGTAAGACAACTACTTCCCTTCCTTCCCCAAACTTGAAGTGGCTTACAGGACTTCATAGTCTACAAAAGGTTTAGAAATGAATAAGGAAATTAGAGTAAAGAGAAAAGCAGGTAGGCCCCTAAGATAAGACGGGAATAAGGTGACTCTCACAAATCTCAAAGCTGGCGGGCAGCGCCTGCAGGGCTGGTGAAAGTGAGCTGCTCATTCGGCTCTGAGGTTCCTGGTATGAAGAGCATCTAGACCTTGTACAGAGGGGTGTGTGAGTGTGTGTGTGTGTGTGTGTGTGTGTGTGTGTGAGTGACACTCCCTCCTAAGCCACAAGCCCCTGTGGGAGGACAGGCCCTGCGCGAGGCCATGGGAAGATGATGAAGATGATGCCCGTCTGTGGTAACCTTAGATGCATGTCTTTTCCAAACTCCTGGGGCACTTGCCCTCCGGAACTTGCCCCTTTGCTCTCAGCATTGTGTTAGGAAACAAAGCGAGCAGACAAGGATGGAAACCTCTCTGTTGCTGGGTTCCTTCCAGGAACAATGGGCGGGTTAAACCGGTCACCTGTGGTGGGAGGCAGGCAGGTGAGTCACTGCTGTGACAGGGCAGAATGGGATCCTTAGTTGTACAGCGGGGCCAGTCCTGTGAATGGACTCATGCTTGCCTGGTGACTCACGTTCCTGTTTACAAATGAGCCACAGGAGTGCTGTGGAGACCGGGACCTCCGGGGTGGGCAGCCCTTCCGTGGGCAGAACTCAGGGCTCCTGTCATTCAAAGGCAAGATGCAGGGACAGCTGCCGCCAGTGGAAGGCCCTGGAGGAACACCAGTTTATAGGTGACGTGGCCCCGCCTCGTTTGGGGAGTTCACATGGCCTTTGGATGATTTTGTTCCAACTGGATACTCCCCATGGGAGGATCGGGAAATATGGTAGCCAAGTCAATGATTCTAGAACCGTGGCTGCTGTTGTATAGATTTGTCCTTCGTGTCTATCAATTTTCCATCTCCCAGTCTTTAGTACCCACTATGCTCATTGTGCTTTTTAGTGACGATCAGAACCTAAGATAGTGGGTCTTGTGCTCAGTCTCATATTCTTCACTCTGAATTCTGTGACTCGGGATTAAGAAGGGTGAGCCATCTGTTCATGGGACCTTCCTTCGCATAAAACTTTTATAACCTAGACCAGGGGAGGTGTACCTCCTTTACAACGGGCAGAAAAGACGTAGATATTTTCTTTCTGAAAAGCCAATTAGAATGATGCTTCTTTGTTGGGAAAGAGCTCTTCTCAGGCCTCAGGTCTCCCTCTACACCCCTAAGTTCTCTACACCATCCAGAGAGCAGCAGCCAGCATCTGCACAGGCAAACCCGTCTACACAGCAGCGCTGTGAGTTGACTGAGACCTGGTTCGTACTCCCCCTCTGCCGTTGACTAGCTGTGTGACCTTGGGCATGCTCCTTAACGTCTCTGAGTCAGTTTCCTCCTCTGTGAAGTGAGAGGGACAGGACCTACCTCAAGGGTGGCTGTGAGGTGTAGCGGAGGAACACGCACACCCCTGGCGGAGTAACAGGCAACGAACCCAGGCAGCTCGCGTCCGGGGCTCCGGCTGGGTGGAGATTCGGGGCAGCGCATCCTTTTGGAGCACCTAAAGTGGAAGCTGCCAGACCTTCGAGGGGACTGGAGAGGTCCGTGCCATTGCTTCTCTCGAAACGATTGCCGCCTGGCAGAGGGAAAGGTGTTAAGACATCCCCAATAGCTGTAGGGGTGGAACCATATGTAACTGCATTTTTGTAGGGTAGAAATACTGCATGGTTTATGCTAATAGAAGATTCAGTAAGGTAAGTTGAGAGACAGAGAGAGAGAGAGAGAGAGAGAGAGAGAGAGGTGAGAGAGGGGCTAGCCAGCTGGCTCCCTGGAGGCCCAGAGGCAGGTGTGGCCGCGTGCATTGGGGTATCGTGTGCCTTGGGGTAACAAAGGGCAGAGGTGGGGGAGCGGGAAGGGATGCCACAAAGTCTGCATGGAGGAGGCTGTTACGATGCCACTGGAGGGGGTCCCCAGGCTGGATGGCAGGGAGGTGGACGAGCTCTGGGTTCGCTCCTCCTCGCGGGGAGCTGTAGAGGAGTGGGGTTAGGGTAGAAAGCCAGGCTGGGGCCGCGGATGCCTGGTGACCGCACCCCCGCCCGCCGAGCCTCACTCTGTTCCCCTTTCTTCCCGGCCGCAGTGTCCCCTCCCTTGCTGCACTCAGGGCCACGACTGTCAGCACCTCTACCCCCCCTCAGACTTCACTGTCAGCACTCAAGTCTTCAGGGACATGAGGAGGAGCCACTCCTTACAAAAGGTTGGGGAGCCCTGGTGTTTGGAGGTAGGTCGCGGAGCCGAATGACGGTATGAGATGAGCCAGCCTCGACATGAACCCGCCCATCCAAAGTTTACCTGCAGCCAGGGCAGGGCCCATCCGCCACGGCCCAGCTTCCCGCCGGGTCACTGTCGTGTGGGGTGCCATGATGTCTGGGTGTACTGACCGCTGATGGGTGTATCAGAGCCATAAAGTTGCCAGTTTACCAGAAGAGGGCGGAGGGCGGGGCTCCCGGGGGCGGCCGGCGGTCCAGTGTCCTGCGTAGCTTTTGTGACCTGCGTAGCTTCTGTGAGAGCGAACCACCTTATGCCATTAAACTTGACCCCCAGGAAATAAGTCTCTGGGTGTCTTTCCAGCTCCCAGTGGAAGAGGAGTTATAACCTTCGCCTCTGTTATCAGTCACTTCGAACGCATAGCTTTTCCTTTGGAATCAGGGTGCCCAGGAAGGCTCCGTCCTCCGTGGGCCACCTTCCCGGGCAGCCGAGCACAGCTTCCTTCGCAGACCCGGCTCTCCAAGGACAGGGCGCATCGTCAGTTTCTTTTAAATAATTCAATATGTCGTCAATACCCCACGCCGCTCCGTGCTCGGCAATGACAGTTCTCTTCGGATTAGTGGTCCCAAGGAATAAAGAACATCGAGAGCACACTTTCATCTTCAGAAAAGCAAAAGTCAATGCAGATGAAAATTTTAAACTAACTCTTTAGACTTAAACAGCAAATGATTTCGTACTAATGCTAGCTTAAAAAAAAAAGATAAGTGAATAATCAAGAGCCAATTCGTAAAGCCCTCTGCCTTTAAAAAGCGTTTATTGTATACCTGCTGTATGCTGAGCGCTGTGCTACATGTTAGGGCTCCGAGGACAGAAAAGGGCCTAGAGCATATTAACACGTGCCCATGTGACTTGCCTTTGGAGAGAGAAGGGGTGGACTAAGTCATCTTTAAAAGCTTGTTTTAGTTTAAGAAGTACCTAGCCCTTTAAGAGAAGCAGAGACATGGAGAAAATCATACAGAAGAAACGTAGGCACCCATAGTTGTTTTTTTTTTTTTTTTTTAACCTGTTTATAATCTCTTCATTATTTGGATGCATTTCTTTTCTCAACATTCATGGGTCTAAACTTTAAAAGTCTTTACTCAGGTTCGTGTTTTCTTTCCACTTGACATAGCACCCAGGATGCTATACACTCCCGTGTGTCTTAGCTCTGGTTGGTCACGCCACGGATTGGCATCTTGTGGAAATCTTGCTATCTTACCCTTCCCCTTTGGCCAGGTGTGCGTGAAACAGAGGATGTTCTGGACTGTGCCTGGATTTCCTGGATCCCAGTGCCTGTGTAAGCCCGTGTCCTTTAATTGGCCTGGGTCTGACAGAGCAGGGGGTCCCCCCTTCTGTGCAGCAGCTGGGGCCAGATGCAAGCTTTTCCTCAGCAGCCCCTCCCTGGGTCATCTATAATAATAAAAGCGTAATATGCAAGTCAACCAAACGGCCAAACAGCGGAATGACCATCCGAACGACCTTCCGGACAAAGCCAGGGCTGTGAAGGCCTACTCTTGCATGGATTTCGTGCATCGGGCCTCTAGTCTTTTAGTCAGTGCAGTGGTTCATTCTGACTCTGGATGAAAAGGCCATAGCTGTTCCTCCAGCAGGGCCTGCGAATGCTAACTCATTAATCTTTGGTCGGAGTTATGAGGCCGATAAAGGAGAACCAGACACCCATTCAGAGTCTGAGGAAAACGAAAGAGAAAGACTGGATTTCTGCCTGACCCACAGATTAGATCCCTGGCGCCAGCTCTGCCCCTAGGACGGGGGAGCATCTCCTGGGAGAGTGCCAATACGTGCTGCTTCTGGACTGGGGTCTAAATCTCCAACTGTGACTAGGTCAGGCACGGCGACACCACTCACGGGCTGTGTGAACTTGGCAAGGTACCCTCCTGCTCTGCCTCAGTTTCCCCATCAGCGAAGGGGGATCCCACAGGGGCTGTTCTGAGCCTCAAATGAGGAAGCCTGTAAAGTGGGGGCTTGGTCAGAGGAGCTGGTGTGCCTGGTCTGGCACAAGCACCCGCAGGATTGTTAGGGGCTCGCACACAGATAGTGTGGCTATGTGATGGGCGGCCACTGCTGGGGCAGCTCGGTTGTGTAGCCGGCCTCCCATGCAGGCTTTTCCAGAAATGTATATGGCTCCTTTGGAGTGTTTCCTACTGTGAGAATCGGGGTGGTGTATGGAAATCCCATCCACAGCACAGCACAGATGTGCTGGAGGAGGCCCTGGGTAGTGTCATGGAAACCGCACTCAGTTGGAGGCAGGACTGGGTGTAACCCCAATGTCCTCTCCCCTCTGTTGGCAACGCGCTTCACCCTCCAGGATGCAATCCCCGTGTCTGTAAAAAGGGGTGGCAGTGGAGTACCTGCCCTGCTTCATGGGGACCTGTGAGGAGCCCTTGAAATCTGATCACAGTGACGTTTACCACACATTTTCTATGGTCCAGGTGTTTGCCTATGTTGAGTCTTTGCAACCTGGCAGCAGCACTGAGAGGGAGATGCAGTGACTATTCCTTTTTGCAGAAGAACCACAGGGAGGTTAAGCAACTTGCTTAAGGTCACACAGCGAAGGGGCAGAGCCGTGACAGACCCTGGCAGTAGCCCGTGGTTGGAGCCTTCCTCACCAGCCATCTGCCACCTGCTAAAGGAGAAGGTGTTGGTGTTCAGTACCCCCAGCCTCCTCAGGAGCTGGACAGAACTTCTCCTTCAGGACAACTAAGTCCCATTTTTTGCTCTACAAGTACCGTATTCTGGTACCTTATACCCCATCCATATTTAAGGTTCACTGTCCCTCCCCTTTCTTTCCTGCAGTTCAGCTGGATTCTCACTCTATAGTTCTCTCCGCCAGGGAATGAAGGTTGGTTGACCAGTTGAGTAAATATGACTAAGAAAGTCGATACCCACCTGGGCAGCATGACTCACTTCTTTCTAGTTAGCTATTCCCGTACCTGTTCACGCCAGCCGTACAGTCATTACATTGGGGCTATTAACCAGTTTAATAGTGACAATAATAGGGTGTGACCCCTGGCATAAATGCATTCAGATAAAAAGCAAGTGTTTTTCCTGTAATTGCTTAGTCAATACCATTTTCACGGAAATGCTTGCAAACAATCTTTTAAAAAGTTCTTTGTCCCAGTCCTTCCCTTACTCCTTGCTTCCTTCCTCTTCGGGCCTCCGACACGTTTTTCCTAATCTGTGGAGATAAGCAAGATGGTGCACCGTGTCCCTTCTGAGGTTTTGGTTGACCCTCCTTTGTGCTAGTGTTGAGGCTATTTGTATCCCATGTTTAGGGATACATGAGTGTGTGTGTGCGTGTGTGTGTGTGCGTGTGCGCGCGCGCCTGTGTGTTCAAGTGGGGGGAACATTATTGGTGGTACTGGCTTATTGACTTCTCAACTCATACATTTAAGGAGAAAAGAGACTTCTGCTAACGTTGCAAAGCTAGTCACACAGACAGGGAGTTAACCGTTCTGGTGGGAGGAAATGAAACTTTTCTTCGGTTTATTAGACCACATCCTATAAATCTGTGGCTTATTATATGTCTGATTTCTGAAAAGCATGGCATCATGGCCAAAGTTTTGTTTTTGCTTGTTAGTCATTGAAACAAATATAGATGCTGCTTCATTTCCTCGGCACCCTATTTTTCAGTACAGGTTATGTATGGACACTCTGGGTTTTCACAACACAGTGCATAGAAGGGAAGTACTGGCTTTATAAATCTCCGCTTTACAGCTCTGGACCAGCAAGCGTTCCGTTAGGCTGAAATGTTTAATGTGCCCTCCCCCTCCCGTGTCCACTGCGCAGAGGGCTCTGACATGTGGGGGCTTCACCGAGGCGTCCTGGTTACCTAGAGAAGCAGGATGAGAAAACAGCACAGGTACTTCTGGAAGGCAGCGTTCACATTTTGACAGACTTCCAGTCTTTTCAAAGATGTGTTTTAAAAATCATAGGTGGGCTCATAGCATATACACATTGTTTTCTGCTTATATTACATCGCTAGTCATAGATACACTTTCCTAGGTCTGCCCCAAAGACTTTGTAAAACCTCTAAGGGTTGACCATTCTAGAAGGGGGCGGCCCTCACTCTGCTTGGTCATCGCCCGGGAGCAAACAGACCACTTCTCGAGTCTCACTATTACGGTGCATCTCTCGTGGGAGAGGGTGCAAGTTGAAAATGATGAAGACAGAATGACCCGGACGCTGCAGAATGCCCACGTGATCTACATACCGCGGCTTAGCCCTGGTCCATCTGTGCAGGCGGGCCTGCAACTCAGCCCTCCCCCAAGTTCACTCTTGGAGTGGGATGGCTATGGGACCACCCATATTATTTTATTTCTCCTCTCTCTCATTCTCTCTTTGCACAGCTTCTTTGTTGGAGTCATAAATGAGTGCCTGAGTTTCCTCCGCCAATTCACTGCAGAACTGTAAATGGGTATCTTGGTGCCCAACTTGGAACTTCCAGCACCTTGGCGAAGTCCCAGTCCCAGGGCATCGTGACCAGGCTGTAGCTCCCGCTGCCGATCGGCGCCCCCTACGTGATGGACACAGCTTGTCCTGCACTCTGCACTGGGGGAACAGTCCCAGAGCGGGAGAGGGTCACTCTGGGTCCTGTTGCCCCTGTCGTGTGCCATTCCTTGGACCGAACTCTGTGTCTGCTGTTCCTCTCGCTTCTTCCACTTTCCTTCCACCCTGAGAAGCTGGTGCAGGAGGTAGGAAGTGCAGACTGCGTGCGTGGAGATCCGCGGAGGAGCTCCATCCATGGGGTGGGTGGCGTGTCCTCTCGCCCTGGGTCCACGCCTCTTGGGCCGCCTGACATCCACCCAGCCGCCATGGGCTGTCTCACAGCTCTTATCTCTGTGACCACCTCCCTTTTCTCGATTCTTGGTGAGTCACATGTTTTCTTTGCATCCGGTGTGACAAAGGTCATTAACAGAGAAGACTTGGGCCTTGGACGCGTGACATGCTGTCACC